TTCGGCTTGATGAATATGCGAAAGCCTCTGCTACAACAAAGTCACTTGGACAACATCTGGAAACATAAACAAATGTCCATAGTTTCAGGGTTCTTCAACCTCTTACCAAACCAACACGTTATTTAAATCATACCCACCTGAAACACCGATTATCCACGGTTGATAATAAAGTTCTTATTTATTTAATGATTCTTTTCATCTGCGTGAATGTTAAATAAAGCGGCCCTGAGAAATTTCAAGATACTATCGTATAATTTACATGTAATGTCTCGGTAAAACCATTAGAATCCTCATGTGAAGACAGCCTGTTTTCTGACCAAGTTTCGATCCTGCGATCTCCAGGATAGCATGTCAGGTGTTAATGATATATGACTGAGATGAAAGCATAACACAGAAGCAGCCCCGCTGGGTCGTGATTGCACAGATACGTGCACTAAAATCTATCTCAGCATCAATATAGGCTGCTTCCCTCTGGTAAAAGGAGGTAGCCTTCTGTTTTCTTGTGTTTTAACCCTTATTCAACCCCCGCACCTTAGCAACCACCGCCCTTTCAACCCCTTCATGTGAATATGACCTGACAGGCAAGGAGAATGAACGCTGTTCTGACGATGCTTTTGAAACAAGGCAGCCATATTGCTCCCTTAGTCTGATTTCAGCAAGAGTGATTTAAAGTAGACTATTACAGCTCCGAGGTTTTTGACTCAGTGTTACAAAATACGATTCAGACTGAGGGGGAAGTGGAGATGATGTTAGTGAGTCGTAATACGTTATTTAATGACCCTGTACCAAAAGCATAAGATCTTTGAGATGAAAATTTGCGGCTGAGTGGTTGGCACTCCTGCTTCCTATTAGCTAGGTCCCGATATCGATTCTCTTCCCTGAAGACAATTGTGTTTGTTCAGGTATTTGTGGCTTTTTTCAGTTCTACAGGCAAATGTAGGAATACCCTACATTAATAGACTATGACAATTCCTTATATATATTTCCAAATCATTATTTCGAAATATATTACCTATATTGTTAAGATAGCGTCGTTAAATTCTAAGAATCTAATGAAGTTTTAGCTGGGAAATGAAGATAAGTTAGCATAGATGTTATAATAATCAAGATTCGAACCATGTACTTTCGAATACAAGGAAAATAATACTAAAATGGACCATGGACACAGATAGGAGTCTATTATTTTTATTGCATCGTAACAGTCAGATATTTGATCGCCGAACTGCAAAACCAGGCAATTCTACGCAAACTAAACATTTAAACTTGCTTATTTATTTTATCTAAGGCCATTAAATAGTTATGAAATGTTTTGCATGTGTAACAAAATTTGACTAAAATCGATTTATGCACAATAATTAATAAGCCTACGAATCCATAAAAATGTTTCAGCGGAAAAAACTAAATTGTGTAACCAGAAAGAAAGTATCTATTCGAAAACTAAATGCAGACTTCGCATAATAAATGGGCAAATTAACTTATAGTTCATAACTGCTACTGAACTCTGAAATATGTTTGCCCCGTGAGATCTGACGTTCTCTCAAATGTTAGAAGAAGATTTATGTTGTAACGCCATGCAGACTTGCAGGTAGACACCATCGTTTCAGAGAAGCTTACGGTCTCAGTCTTTGGGACTGATGTCGTGTAACGTGCTTAAGTTTGATATTTGAGCTTCTCAACACGGTAATATGTCGATTGTGGTCTTCTTGGTTGTTACACTGTGTAATCTTATAGATAAGTAACTTTTCGGATAAAAATATCGTCTTCGTCTTCAGATTTAAGGAGATGCTACGTTCCATGTGAACGTTAGTAACCACATGCAAGAACATGGCGTCACGTATGTTAGAGACCACAATCAAAGTAAGTTTCTTCAGCTTACATACTTACATACTGCAGTTGTGTACACCCTGATTTTCCATTAGTGTTGATGTTGATTTATTGGCAACCGAATCTGTTGTTGAAAAGCTACTGGACAGTACAGATACTGAGCTGGGCGAGATGTAACTTATTTCGCGCGAAGACCCTACGGAAAACCATCGTTCCCTACTCTCTGTCACACTCCGTGTAGCTACGCAGTCGAATGCTGGGTTAGCGCCTCGAACTACATCACCATTGACTTGTCGTATTTCATGTTCGAACGGCTATGCAGTAAGAACTGACTTCGTAAAATCTGATCGACGATGCCTTAATAACCAAGGTCCCCCCCTGATGATGGAGGCGGTAATCACCTCCGAAATGTCAGTAGTTATTTATCAGATTACACGGTGCAACATCCCACAGTAAGCAAAGTCGAAATGTTAATGGAGACTTACGTCACTCTCGCAGAGAGACAGCACATGCGACCTTCTGCCAGTGTTGTCCGCTGTAAAACGCTGAAGGAACACACGAGCTTTCAAATTGAATTTCGTTCCTTCCATCAGCAAGCGGATAGGCTCCTTCAAAGGGATCTTGTGCCCGGCCAAGAGAAATGACGACAGCGGATGTTTTAGACAAGAGAGAACAGGATAAAGGACAAGGATCAGAAAGTCCTCCGTTCATAAGGAAATGATTCGTATAATTAGAAGGATGAATATAGTAAGACGGTTTGTGTGTCCGTATGTGCAGTGTTTATTTAATAGGCAATTAAGTTACGTTAGCAAAAATACTTCATAGAAAAGTTATAGATTAATTAAATGTGAATTTTATTATATGTAACAAATCACTGTGATTAAGTGTTTGAGAAAACTGAAGAAATTATGTTTTAGTTTAGTGTTAAGTAAACCAATAGCTATACGACCCTAAAATTACAATCTTTTATACAGATCCCCCTCCCCCAATTAATCGAAAACCGTAGATCTTTCTCAGCCCTTCATTCCAACACCATTAAATCGTTTCACTTTGTGGGAATCTGAACAAAATAAACAAACACTCCTTTAACTGTTATATTTCGCACAGTAACCATTGCACTTCGAGTAGCGATTCTGATGTTAATTGAACGCTCAATAACCCCTCCCCTTAATGTGATTGAGTTTGATAAGCCGTTGTTTAAATGTCACCATGATGATTTATGGCCCATCAAAATCTCTACGATAAAGGCTGCCACAAAAATGCGCTCTTGATAATAAAGCTGAGTCTTGTAGAGTCCAGAGGGTTTGCTGAAATGGCCATGTACATTGTAAAAATCAATTACAGGAAAAGATTTTACCATGATTTGTTGAAATTTGTTCTAAAGAAAATTAAGCACCCACGCTTTACCGTAGTAAATGTTTTATATTATCCATATATCACACGGAATAAAAACATCATATAATACCATCATATATTTATCATTGACGTACAGTAAAATGTACGGTACTGTAATATTATATTATTAAAAGCTTTAAACAAGTGTTTAATTATGGTAATTTTGTAGAAGAAGCAAATGTTTATTTGTTTACTGTCCGTTATTACTGTAGAAGAAGCAAATGTTTATTTGTTTGCTGTTCGTTATTATATGGTTTAATTAAAGTAGACATCTGCCATTATTAATAAGGATTTTGAAATATATTCTGTATGTCATATTGTATTACTTAATTCACTGATACCTTGTTTCAAATCTTTGTGAAGAAGCTACAGGAATACTCATTAATGGCAAGGACATTTTAATTCTAAGCAAGAGCATTTTTTCAAACTTTGACCAATAAAACATAGAAATATCTTTGCTGACCTGATTTTGGGGAGTGCCCGTCTTATAACATTTTAATTCTTTGCTGTTTTTCACATGAAATTAAACTTTGAAAAATATTCAGATATTCTAATAGTAAATTCGTATTTATATATTACGACATTTCCTTGTAAAAATGATTTCCGCTTCTATACATTAGTTCAACTAATGTTGTCGGCAAAATGTAGACACATAAATCTGATACCAGAAACTCAAGTTCCTTTCAATAACACCCACATGACAACTTGCACATTTATGCACAAAACCACACACAGCGGTTCCCATTGTTTCTACTTCTCTACTCAATCTGTTTATCACAGGACTGTGGTTCGCGAAAAACTCCTTCATCTACACGAGATTTAAATGAAGAGAGAGACGAGACACGTTAGTTTTAACGATAAAATAGACAAGTCGGAAATCAAAGGAAGTTTAATTCAGAAGTCAAAACAATTCTGGCATGCAGCATTCATTTCTGAGGTTACTGATTCCAATCTCTCTCAGAAATTGGTTATACGGGTGGCCCTTTAGCACGTCAGTACTTAGTTCTATCTATGTTTGTTTCTGTCACAGCAGAAACACAAGGAATGAAGCTGACGAAACAGGAAAAATGATAATTTTGAAGTACCTGATAAGGATAAATTTATCTAATCTGTTTATTAAGATAATAATAAATTTAACGCTAGGTGTAATCTGAAACAAGTAATGACAGTTACAAAGATGTTGGACTTATGGGTTATAACGACTTGTGGAGTCGTACGTAGACACCAACGTTTCGAAGAAAAATATTGTTACCATCTTCAGGGCTGCAGACCTGAAGACACAGACTTTCTCCGAAACGTCGGTGTCTACCTACTAGTAAACACAACGTCACAATCTAGAGAAACAACATCAATATCTTCGCAGCCTTGATAACATCACACACATAATAACGAAACCAAGAAGAATAATGTCATTTTATCATATCTTATGATCATACCTGTATTTTACAAATTATTAGAATATATAAATTAGTTAGTTAAAACAAAATTAAATGAAAGAGCGTACCGTTTTATTCCACCGCCCTCAGAGACTACGAGGGGATGGTGTTTACATTCCAGATATATAACGCTCTGACGTTGTTCTTTTTTTTTAAAACCACCCTACTGACCACCTACCCCATTCATGAAATGCGTGTTCTACATAAAATACGACGCCACTGCGGTGTACCAGTTCCCTATAGCACAATCTACGCACAAAAATAGAAAATCTTTTATCCATTCTGCTTCGTGTTCTTCGGGAAACCAGGAGATGTGTTTTAAATATGACAATGATTTGTTTGCAGGACAGTGCTGTTGGAGGCGCGAAGAGAGAGAAAACAAACGAAAACATGGAAACCGCTGAATTACACGGAGTGAAAAACACAAATTCCATGTCCTTGCTGAGTGGAAAACTGTGATAAAGAACAAGTGATTGCAGTTCAACGTGGAAATAGTCGTCAATTCGTGGTGGTTTCTCACATCAAGGTAAGAACTCTGGCGAGACGTTTGACAGCGGAGTAGTGAGGAGAATATTTGGATTTGAAAGTATTGAAGTGACAATAGGCTGTAGAAATCTGTATGAAGAGAAGCTCCATAATTTATGGTCAAATAAACGAGAATAAAATAAATGGTGGGAGATGAGAAATGAACATGTGATTTTAGTTGTAATATCTGAAGGGAAGAGAATGATGAGGCATAAACCTAAATCAAATGATAATATTAAAAGTGATCTTGGAGAAACAGCGTTTAGAATGTGGATTGAAGTCATCTGGCTCATGGGATTACAGTAATAAAACTTCGAGTTTCATAAAAGGTGGGGAATTGCATTACTAAGCTGAACGTATGTTCCTATCAATTTTTCCAGGACCCCGCTCCATAGCGTTAGTTAATAAGTCACCATATTGCCCTGTAAAGTTCACTAGATTAATATTAATCAATTCTAATCCAGTCAACCACTGTCTGATTTTATTTCATGCTTAGACCCAAGAATGACTTAACTTTTTGAAATATTATGGTATCCATATGTACCACCTACTTTAAAATAAAGTAACGCCACATTTCATGTACGAAGCCTAGATAAAACTTTAAAATGATTGTCAGTCTGTTTTTCATAAACCAGTTTCACTATTTAAATGTTTTAAATCTCATCAACGTGAACCTGTAATAAGCAGAATTAGCAACTAAGTAACTAATTTACAGACTGACTGATTATCTGACCCAATGACAATGAGGTAATTCTCTAAAATGTTGCAGTTTATCAAAGATGTTAAATGACGTCTGTTGCTGAAAAAGAGTCGTTAAATATCTCGGAAAGAACTGACTGCTGATAGCGACGTCCTTGCAGTAACGTAGGAAGCGTCGGGCTTTGTGGTCGTGGGGCCCTGTTTTTCCACCTTTTAATAAAGCCCTGAGACAGACGTCGGTTGGAGAATTGGATCGCGCTGCAAACGGGCGGCACACCTTAGAACTAAAGCGATCTATGTCCTTCTCTTTCGTTCTGCTGTAATTACCGAGACTATACATCGTATTCAGAATTGAAAACATCTTATTAAATGTTCTGTAACAGGTCATCAAGAATTATTCATTTTCATAACTCTCGCTTTCCTTCTTCAGTTATTTATATTCCATCATTTCTTTCAACCTTATTCTTTTTCTTATTGTTTCTCCTTTGGTGGTTCTTCTCTTTATCTTTCCTTCGTTTTATATTTTTTTATTTTGTCCTACATATTTACCTATATCATCTTTTTTCTGTCATTCCTTTTTCCCCTCCTCTCTAAACCTCTCTGCTATCTTCTTTCGTTCCTTCTCCCGTTTTGTCGTTCTTTATTCCCTTCCTCCTTTTCATTCCATCATTTATTGTAAGAGAATCCTTTTATAAAATGTTGCTTTGTTTTATTTATTTAATTTTATTTTTCTACAGCACACGCAAAATCCAACTTCCTTCCCTATAAATATTATTGATTTAACAGCCAAATCTAATTAGTTTTACCCACTTAGTCAATTGTTCTCAGAACTAAGTCAATTTTCTTATTCTTCCTCTATCCAAAAAAAGATAAATAAATAATAAATTAAAACAGTTCACAACAACCGCAGTTACGGTTATAAACCTATGCTCCCCGAAATTAACGAAAACATTAAAACATTTTTCTCAATTCAAGTATAGTCTGGCTGTGTTAACAGCACAGCTAATTAGTATTTGCTTAACAGTTTCCTTTTATCCAGCCGTTCACAGAGTAACGCTGTTGTCTTCCACGTACTTCAGGGACACGTAGAATGAGCCTATGCTCTGGAAAAAAATTATTTCGACCCGCAGCAATGTTGAAATACGAATAATATAATCCATTAACTACTTTACTTTATGTTTTAATGCAGAGTAGATAAGCAGTATTAAAATCACAACAAATAAATAAAAATTTAGATAATGAAGCTAACATAAGTTTTCGGGACAACACATTTAATTTTCTGTACTTACATCTGGTTATAAGAAACTGAGATGGCACAGCTAATTTAAAAATCCGTGCCATAATAATTTAAGAAAATCAATTGAAGTTTAGAATACCATGTGATAATTAATTATTAATAATATATGTTTTAAAACTATATCCCTTTTTATAACTATTAAATACGTACGGTCAGTATGAATAATTGTTACGTATTTTGTACATATTAATTGCATAATTTTTTCGAGTTTTTCCACTGTCATTTTCAAATACCACAAATTGTTCACAGAGTGAAAATAACTTCCTGTCAATTTTCTTTTAAAATCCTGTAATGATATAAACTATAACCTACAATGTAAGCAATGTGATGTTGGTACAATTGTGTTACTTACACCACTGTTACGCTGAGTAGCTGCGTCACACATATACATGTAAACCCACTCTGTTTCCTCCCTCAACCAGATTTGTACAACATGGCCATGTAATTTAGTAGGGCGAGATGTAAAAAAGAAGCAAGAGAGAATCCGCAAAGAAAACCAGACTGGACAGCGATGTTTTAACTTTTGTGGAAACAAAATCAAAACATATGGGAACCGTAAAAAAGATATAAAAACTAAGGAACCTGTGACTTAATCACAGATTCGTCTGAGTTCTTTGAACAAACTGCGTAAAGGGAATTTATATGTAACAGACCCTGTCCGTCTGTTCCAAGGGTTGCATCTTCTAAAGTAGGCTACTTGGGTTCCAACGGATTTCGATACAATGTATACTAAAAAATAAACTAAGCAGCTGTTAGAAGAATTTGTAAAATTGTTTTTTTCTGGACTTTGTTCATCGTCTAAATTATTATAAAATAAAACTGCAACGTTTCGGAAGCTGGATTTTGCTTCCGTCTTCAGGTGGAAACGGTGGAAGAGGACAGAAAGCCTGTTCGACCTTGTGATTTAGGTAGCATCAGACCAGGACAATTAATTTTATTCTGTTTCGGTCAAATACAATACAAAAGTTACGTAGACCTCTCATTGAAGTCTTGCGTTTTCGTAATAGAAGTTCTGAAGAGCCTGGTATATTTTGAAGACATCCGACTTCCCATAGGAAGGCTAGACAGACGGATTTAAAAATGAGTAATTATGCAACTCAGTGATGTACAGTTCTGTTCATAATGCCCATTAATATAGAACTGCCAGAACTTAAAATCTGTTAGACATAACCTCAACCCATAAGTATGAAACAACTTAAGGATGACAAATAACAAACGAGCTTCAGATTGCAAATCGTACAGAAATTGTGGATTGGGCTAACATATTTTTTCTCGCCTTTGTGAAGAAACCGCATTTGGTCTGCAGTTTACAGAATATTCCCGGTGTAGAAATTTAAAATCTCAGTTTCAGTGAAGTTTAATGATCATCAAATATGTACTTTCCTTAACACAAGCGTTCATTAAGCTACGGTGTTTTTTTCTTCTTTAGATGTGCTAGTTTTTCATGAGCAACGAAACCTCATTTAACTTACCTAAAAGCAGTAATTAATCTGCTGCTAAGTTTCCCTGTTTACTTTCATGTACCCAAATGCTATAAAAAGGTGTAAAAATGAAATCAAGGCTGTACGGTGCTCTTCACACGAAGTAAAGGCGAACGGAAAACTCGTTTCTGTTTTTCGAAGCCTAAAGTTTGGAGGAGGTTTATACGAAAAACTTCAGGAAGCATTTTATTTTTATCTGCTTCCGAGTATTACAACCTTACTTTGAATGTAACTCTTTTTAAAGCAACTTACTATATAAAATATGTTTACATGACATAAAACACATTTGAATAAAATTCCATAAAATTTAAAGGTGAGTGCTTTAGAATTTTTTTTGAGTTTCTTATGTGAATTGATTTGACCCGCGTTTCTCATTGCTGATTTGCAAAAAATTCAACATTCATCTTTATTTTACAGGATACCGGAATAGACCTAATGTAGAGCTCAAAATATCGAAATTTCAAAAGAATGTCTTACTGCGAGCTATAAAGATGTCTACCTTACCGACAAGAGACAATGGTGCGCGGAAGATCCAAAAATCGATTCCACGTTTCTTCGTTTCTCTCTTCATCGCTTCCTTCTTCACCTACTCCCCCTTCCTTCCCCTTCGTCCTCTATCACATCCCCTCCCTACAGCAACATTGAGATCGACCGAAACTAAGGGCTTGCAAAGACAAAATGGCGACAACCACACCGTGAGAAATTATTTCTCTACACCAGAAATTTCAAAATCACCAGGTGATTTCCGGCTTCAGAAACTGATGTCAACTCTACAATATATAATTTCAAGGTAAAACACTTTGGTTGCATGATTGATCGAATTTAATTATGTTACTTCATACATTTTTATGTGATATTATAACATTGTGTGTACTCCAATGTTATTTGTTGCTAATAGGAACACAAAACTAAAGGCTTTCGTGTCTGTGCTGTGTTCATTTCCCCTGACACGAGTTCCGAATTTCGATTCTTTTTTCTTTTTTAAAAAAATACTTGAACACGCATGCGCGTTGTACGTAGTCTGCACTAGTCTACTTATTACTGGGTGTAAAGTTGAGCATCTAGTTCAAATTTGTATTACAACCTTTCAGAATATCTGAAAATAAAAGTAGGGTAGCTGTATTTCAATACTCTTGTTATACCTGGTTTCAAACATATGTAGTTGTCTATGTACTTTATAAATTTAATTTGATTAGCCCACGAGATAAATCTGTATCGCTCAGTAATTCTGGTTGTTTTGTTAGTACATTAAAATGGTTCATGAAGAATTTTTTGACTCTCTGTTTACTTCAGCTGTACATTTAAATATAGGTTTCAGATGGCTACAAAATTTTTATTTTACATTTTACAAAATAAGTAAATAAATTAGATATGACAAATGTTGCATAATTTTTCGAAGATCTACGGTCCATTACCACAAAAGGACTTCAGAACCTTATATCACCCGTGTCATAAATTTAAAAATCCGCCATGTAATTTACATGTGCGAAGGAAAAGTGACTGCTACTGGCCTTATTTTCATACTAAGATTCATGAAAAATTAATCAATTTACTTAAAATCTAACAGTGTAGAAATAACACACTAATACAGAGCTCCCTACCTCCACGAAAATAAACAGCATCTCGGTTAAAAAAATGAAGGGTTTAATAATATTTAGGAAAGCAATCGAGTTTATTCATGTAAGAGCAGAGAGATGGATTTTGAAGCAATAATTACCCCGATTCTCAGCACGGAGTGTCTACAGAAGCGAAGAACGGTAAAGACTTCAATCATATATTCTGATACGCTTTAACGAGCCGTGTGTTTTCAAGTATCAAATTATCTGCTATATTACTCATGAGCAGGTGAAGAAAGAGGAAATATATTCCAGTTGGCGACAGCAAACTAATGTATTTATTTCCACCTGTGTAACGTCCCACACGTTAATAAGAGTCTTATCATTTAGATCCACGTCAGTCCAATATAAATAGTTGAGACAGTTTTTGAATTAAGATATTCCTTTCAAATTTCCCCCCTGAGTTGGTCTTAATTAGAGAGCGAGGTATTTCGTTACCAACAAAATACAAAAATACAGTAGCTATCTTGAATTCTCAATAAATCGCTTTTACATCAGTTATCATTTGTCAGCTCAAGATGAAATTGGTGTAACGTTCCTTGCAATAAAAGTCAAAACGACATATAAGATACATACAGTACAATTATCCTTATGTGCCTTGATATTGAACGCTGAAATTCTGAAGTTTTTTCCTGGTGAAGTTTTATGGGAAATAATAATATAATTACACTGTACATGGGGGAGTCATTATAGTGTCCGTAATGCGTTTCGCATGTGCACTGCAAGCCAACAGAATCTCGTTTTTATCTTTATTGTAACTTGAATTTATATTCATTATCCTGCGTATAATAATTACAAGACTCGTCTGTAATTATGCTTTTCACATAGAGAAACAAAATCTTCTGTCCAGTTGTCTATTTAACATCTGCCATCCGTCATTAAAGAGGAGTTAAAATTCAAACTAACACCAACATTATTACTACTTTAGTGGGTCATGCTTCATTGTCTTTAATTATCCCTTTTAATTTTAGGTAATCTACCACAAGAGGAAACTTTTGTGCCATAATTCTTTTAAATGTATCTACTTACAAATAGAAGCTGGTAAAAAAAAATTAAATAATTATAATACAATTCAATTACGTATTTCTATACACAATTCTTACTCATTCAGATTTACACTGTAAAAGTTGCCAGAATTTAAAGTCTTTTGTAATGTTTGTCGCTTTTAAAGCAACTAAATTTAAAATATTTCACGTAAGTTTTCTAAGTATGTTTGTGTCCATCACAGTTATTTGAGGTGAATTGGCTGTAGAAGTTCTTTGTAAAAACCTCCTAGATCTCCAAATTTAATTCCGATAAATTTATTTCTTGCAGGATCAAATCTGTACTTCACTATTACCAACTGAGCAAATTGACAATAAATAACGAATCTTTTAAGGCATAACCTCAACTAAACTTGAAAGGAGTTTGGCATGACCTCATATATCGGATGTATTTATAAGAATTACCAACAGAGCTCATATTGAGCACTTACGGCTTTAAAATAAGTTTGTATTATTGATCTCATTCATACTGATAAATTTTAAGGACTTTTATATGCGAGCTCTAGAAGGGTTTGAAATTGTCGCGTCTGTGAGAACAAAAATGGATGTCTTCTGGATTGTAACACCGTAGAGTATGGTATGTTTTCAGACGTTTCAGAGGTCCTTGCTGCTTCTATCATCAGGGCGATACAGGGATAGTTATTTAGCTATGTGAGACGTAGTTGCATTTTTAAACTGTGTCGGAATGCTAAAAAATGTGTAATGTGTTTAGGTAGCCCTGATGACCAGCTAAGAAGCGTGAAATTTTAAATGTAATTACTTACTTTACGCACTTTGTTGGCTACTAGAAATTAAATTAGCTCAGTAAAGGCACGATCTTAATTTGACTATCGTCCGGAAGGGAGCGTTTTAATTAGCGTTGGCATTCTTTCTTCGATCGCTTGAATAGCTCGGGAAGTGGACAAACCGTTTTATCAGGGCTCGATCGTCTCGTAAGCGTTGTCAAGGCAACTTAACGAGTCGTACACGTGAAGTTCAATAGGGTAACTTTGTAGCCTATTTGAGCCACTCTTGCATTGAGACATATAAATCAGTCAACCGAAATTACTAGCTCCACCAAGCAGAATTCTTCCTTAGAAGTAAAAGCTGATATTATCCTTAGTAAAAAAAATTCCGGCTTCTATAAACCGGAACATTCATTAAGGTGTTGGCAACAGGTTGTCATCCGTTCCTATCCCGAGCAAGACGAATCCAATCCACGTCCTAACACCCTTATTTTAATAAATACTCCCATCTACGTAGTTCTTATGAGGGATCTGATCGCTTATGTTTTTCAAACAAACGTTTTGTACAAGTTTCTCATCTGACCCATGCGCTCTACGTGGCCGCCTATCTCGTCCCTTTTATTTAATCATCTAATCATATTTGGTGAAAATACAAATTTTGAAGCTCCTCATTATGCACTTTTACCAACATGTGTGAAGATGGCTGTGTTATCGGTTGTAGCGCGTTTTCTATTCTGCTAAAAGTTGCTCACTTTCAATAATTTTTTCTGTGTTTCAAGCAGGTCTCTTACCAAAATCTTTATTCAAACCGATGTATCGATTAATCGCGTTGGAGATAATTTTATACTTTATTAATTATCATACCAAATTGCTGTTTGGAAGTAATCTAGTATAACATGGCTACAACGCGTAATCTGAAAGTGTCATAACCACCTTAATTAAATGTCACCAATTTTGTAAGACTGTTTTCAACATCTTTTACACCTTGTTTAGGTATTAATTAATGCTGAACTGTGTGAAGTAAGCTGGAAGTCTGGTCGAGGAAAATGGGCGCCAGAACAAAAACTAACTTTAGCAGATTAGACAAAGCACAGGAAAATTAAAAGAGGCTACTAGTAAGAGGAGGCACTAAGTTAAAACATTAGGCAAGAGATAAGAGGAAATGCAAAACACGAAAAGAGGAGCAGAAGAGTGGGAGAGTTTGGCGGGAAAGAGGAGGCGAAAGGGGGGGATATTTAATCTCCTCAAGTTATTCAGCAAAGCAACGACGGTGGTATCAGAAGGCTAGGCAGAGGGTACATCATAAGCTTTTGCTCTGTGTGTGTGTGTGTGTGTTCAGAAAATGGCGGGCGTAAGAACAACATCAAGTTTTAATTGGACCGCATACATACACGCATACCGAGAACCTCCCGGGTTACAGGCCTACCAACATCGCTTCAGATTATTAGAAAATCTCACTCTAACCCCTAGAAGGGAAATTTTCGCTAACTTTACTCACATCTGTATATAGAATACTTTGTCCATAGAGATGCTATTCCTGCAAGTGTTTAATGTTTAGTCAATGCTACAAATTAGAATCCAGAAGAGACTGCAATATACTGTCGAGTGAAGACGTCAGACTTGCCAGCAAAATAAACAGACCACATAGAATGTGGTACGTGAAGGCAGAAGAACGAGTAGAAAGCAGAAGTAGCAAAGAAGAATACTGGACGGAAAAATAATAGGACAAAGAAGAAATATATGAGAAAGGAACAGCGGAAGGAGAAATATATGAGAAAGGAACAGCGGAAGGAGAAATATATGAGAAAGGAACAGCGGAAGGAGAAATATATGAGAAAGGAACAGCGGAAGGAGAAATATATGAGAAAGGAACAGCGGAAGGAGAAATATATGAGAAAGGAACAGCGGAAGGAGAAATATATGAGAAAGGAACAGCGGAAGGAGAAATAACAATAAACAGTAGAACAGCTAAGTGGATAAGAAGCAGATGAGGAAGAGATGAAGAAGCAAACATGTTAACTTGCGTTACGCAAAGAAAATAATGACTCATAGAAAAAGTACGAAGTGTATAATTAAATAAACTGTTATTCTCCTTTGCCTTTCTCGTCTTATATGCTTGTTTATTTAATTTAGTTATAATCCTAACACGAAATTTAATAACAAACATATCTAAGGTATTCATTTTTGTGAAAAAATTTACCAGTCCCATTTTAAACCGTCAGACTTTTAAATATACAGATTCTAAAACTGTATTTAACTGTTATCTTGAATTATCAACTGCTTAGTTAAACGATTTCAATCGTAAGATTGATCATGATTAACTAAATCGGAGGTCGTGACCCGTTTGTGGTATTACTCCACTATTGACCTGGACTAAATTATCCTCACCGGTGACATCCGAACTCC